TTCAATGGAAGGACATCCGAAGATGAATGAAAGTCTTGCGGGTTTTAAACAACATGAGGGTGAGTAGCCTAATTAATGACAGAATTTCCATTTTGGTTGAAATAACCCTTTAAGATGAAAATTTCATAATAATTATAGCTTTATAATATAACAGTTTGAGTTAGATATGAATAAATAGACCTAAATATATTTACTGTCATTATAAAGCACAGCTACATCATTGGTCAGAGCAGGTGAACAGTAGGCTACAGAATTAAATGAGTGTGTGTTTGCGTGCCTGTGTGCATGTGCTCTTGAATACAGATACAAAACATTTTGATGCTGTGACAATAACTGGGTTCAATTGCTTATGTGAGGGATGGATGAAATGCAGAGAACTGCTCTGCATCTGTGTCCCAATGAGATGACTGACTCACGATAACATGCTGTATGTGTGAGTGATGGGCTGTCTGCTGCTATCTCTTTGTCTGCTGTCTGAGAACGGAAGCACATGCCTTTGACAAAATGACTGGTATGTGCATGTTTGTGTGTGGTTGTGTCTGTGTGTAGTTGTACTCCTCATCAGAAATCAATACACTCAAAGGCAGCAGTGGTTGAATGCACTTAAGAGAGAAACAAAAGAGAATGATAATGCCGGACTTCCTCTGCTGGAGTCTTATTACATTATGGCTAAAGCAGAAAGAGCGGTGGCATCATGGTTTAAGATTTTACTTATTTACATTTACTTCTAATGTATTTAGAATATTGAATAATCAGTATTCTAAATGCATTCATAAAAAGACACTATAATGCTGTTTCATTAATTACATGACATCAGCATGGCTAAAACATGTCTAACACATTCCTTAATGCACTTATGTAATCTACTAGACAAGACTTGGTAACATTTTTCAAGAAAAAGGACATTGATTCAAAAGCACATACAATCTAACAATGTTGCTCAAACACCATCGTCAAAATAGCCTGGTAATACCAAACTCTGCTACTTCGCTTTGCTTTGTAGACAAAGTCTGGCATGGCTTAATTGAAAAGTGTTTTCTTTCTCTCGGGGGCGCTTGTCTGAAGTATAAAATCATTGGTTACTCGTAAGCCAATCAGATAACGTTTGGTTACGTTAACGTTTTGTTACATTAAAGTTTGCTCCTTAACCTGAGTGCAACCAAGGGGGACATAATCACAACTAAAGCCTTGCCGGCCTTTGACGTTTCTCACTGACGATCGGTAGTTGAAAAATTGAGAGTAGGGCCACAACATGCCATCACAACAACCATTCAAAATGTTTAACAAATACTCTTCTTGTTCAGGCTTCAGTTTGCAAATGCTGGGAATATTCTCCACAACAGAGTGAATTGCATCCCGTGTCTCCATATCAACGGTCGTTTTCGACTTCCCTAACCTAAAATACAATCTTAAACTCGGTGCTTAGCGTCTACATCACGGCTCTCAGCCCGCCCTCAGTTCGTTGATTGCCCGACTGTTTTCAGGCCGGAGGAAAACGTATCGGTTACCTAACGTAACCTAGGTTCTCTCTAGGAGAGAGAACGAGTATTGCGTAAGTTAGCTTGCGCTACGGGAAAGATCCATCTTTTCGAGATATTGATTTTATAATTTTGTATTCATTGTCAATGCAGTGCAGCAGCTAGCAGACCTAGACCAGGCTGTTTAGCGTACTCATAGGCTGCCCTGTGGGAACTGCAGCAGCCTACCACTGAGTAGGCATGGCTTAGTGTATATAAGCAGGGCTCAGAGGCTGTTTCTCTGGTTTTTTTCATCGACTGAAGTGAAAATCGCTCGTGGCACGAGCATGGCTGGTCACACAATACTCGTTCCCTCTTCTAGAGAGAACCGAGGTTACGTTAGGTAACCGATTCGTTCTCTTACGAGAGGTTCTCTCGTATTGCGAGACAAGTTAGCTTACGCTACGGGAACCCTTTGTCAATGCCATGCACACCAAGCGTCCACACATGAGTCCCAGTTTTTCCCAAGTGGGAAAATAAGGTGGCCAGCAACGTGGGCCAGCACTTGTACAAAAGCACTCATAGGGAATACAAAGTGGCGCCGCCAGTCTGTATAAGCATATACATCATGACTTTTGCGTAAACATACACGCCACTTTCGAGTCAAGTGGCGTGTTATCTCCATGCATTTTTAACTATCCGCGTGTATGCGTGTATGTCTACGCCATTAACGTCCGAGTGATTCCGCGTGTCAGTACACGCCGTCAAATTTTCCGCGTGAAACAAAGCAAAATGTAGATCTACATCTGGGGAGCGAACTTTTTTTTTCCTAGGATGGCAAGGGAACAGTCATAAATGCCATTAACCCCAGGGGTTGAGGTAAGTCATATATTTATATATACAGTAATAACGTTAAGTCAACGGCGTTCATAAACATGCTGAAAAGCGATTATGCGTCTTGATAGCACGCCAAAAATGGAAATACGAATTGGCGTCTCATACACGCGCTACTTCATGAGATCAGTCTGGCATATAGCACCTACCCATTCGTGCAGCTCAACCAGACGAGCGAAGACATGTGAGAGCAGCCTGCACACGATCATATCTGGACAGAACGTACATCTCACTTGAACTGACAGAAGTTTTGCCTGCAGAGCGGGAACTTCTAGGTTATAAAACCTGACAAAGGTGGACGGGGAGGCACAGCCCACAGCTACACATATGTCGTGAATAGAAATTCCGCTGGACCATGCCCACGATGAGGCCATGCCTCGAGTCCTGATGCCCAAGGGGCATTCTAGACCTTTTGATGCATAAGCGTCAGCTACAGCGTCCACTATTCATCTGGACAGGCTTTGTTTTGAGGCGGCGAGACCCTTGGTGCGTCCACCAAACGAAACGAAAAGCTGCTCCGAGCGCCTGAAAGGGGCGGAGCGCGCAGTGTAAATCCTCAGCCCCCTGACTGGGCAGAGGAGACTGGCCCGAACACAAGACACGCAGCGCTGACGGACACCGCGTGTAAGTCCCCCACACGTTTAACTGATGACAGAGCTGTCAGAAAAACGGTTTTGTGTGACAGGTACTTTAACTCCACAGAATCTAGTGGTTCAAAGGGAATAGCTTTCAGGGCCTCGAGGACCAACGAAAGATCCCACATAGGAACTAATGGGGGGCGTGGAGGGTTCATCCTTGTGTCTCCTCTAAGTAAGTGGAAGACAAGCTCGTTTTTTTCCTAGTGACCGGCCGCGCATCGACTCTGCGAACGCTACAACGGCCGCCACGTAGACTTTAAAGGTGGATGGGGACCTTCCCTTATCCAACAGCTCTTGTAGGAAACTAAGCAGCCGCGAGACTCCACATGTCCGTGAGTCTAGATTTTTGTCTGTGCATCATTTGGAGAACACAGACCATTTAGACACATAAAGCTTTCTGGTAGAGGGAACTATAGACTGCGTAATCGTGTTCATCACTCCTTCTGACAGGGCAATGGGTATCCATTGATCAACCATGCGCGCAAAGACCAGCGCTCTGGATGGGGATGCCAGATCGAGCCGCAAGTTTGAGAGAGGAGATCTGTTCTCACCGGAATCGGCCACTGGGCTGTTGTGATAGCCGCGTCACCTCCGGGAACCAAGTCTGATTCTCCCAACGCGGAGCTATGAGGAGCACAGAGTGGCACATTTCCCTGATCCTCTTGATTACCTGTGGTAACAGAGATACCGAAGGGAAGGTATACAGCGTGTGGCCGAACAGGCGCCATAGTTTCTGGACTGTTTGGGAGTGCAGGGACCATTCCCCTGGAGGAATGTTATCCCTGGATAATTTGTCTGGGCCGTCGTTCAGGTAGCCTGGCACATGTGTATCTCTCCACGAAGGCTGGTGATGCTGAGACCAAGTGAGGAGGCTCTGACGGCCTTTGAGAACCGCGCTTCTTTTGGCGCTTCATTTTAGCTCGCACGAATGGCTGAAGGTGGCGAAGACGGCCGGCTTCTTCAGGCGCTGCCTTATGCTGGCTTGTCACTTTCTCGACGGCGGCTTCTCTCTAGATCCAGCGGTGTGTAGAGCTTTGCTGAAGAGATGAAAATCAGAGAAACAGCCTCCGAGCCCTGCTTATATATGTTAGCCACGCCCATAGTTGCGGGCTATGACACTGTGAAGACACAAGCGTCCTTCATTGGACATGATGTCATGTCGGGCTCAATGGTAGGCTGCTGTAGTTCCCGCAGGGCAGTCTATGAGTACGCTAGACAGGCTGCTATAGGTCTGCTAGCTGCTGCACTGCGTTGACAACGAATACAAAATTAAGGGTCATTTTTTTGGCTTCAATATATCGAAAAGATGAATCTTTCCCGTAGCGCACAAAAGGGAACTTAAATAGAGCCAAAGTTTGAAGTCTGACGTAGTCAGGCTATCATCAAATACTCAACCTATGAAAATGGACAGCCTCACCATGTAATGGGTTATACAGTAAGCATTAAAGCCATCTCCCTGTCCCCCTCTCTGTCACTAATAAACCCTCTGAGAGCGATGAGCATCGGCTTAGATGAGCTCCTGTAATAATGCACTGTCAAAAAATTGTCAATTCACAGTAAACAATGGAAACACAATGTAACTGTAACCAAAAATATCCTTAGCTCTAAACAAATGCGGGAATTCTAGCAATATCTTCTTTATCCATAAAATATAAGGTGGTTCTATATTTTTCTTTAAAAACATATTTGTATCAACATTTCACTGTAATCTATATGGATTGCCTTAATACATTTTTTTTTAGTAAATTATAAGGCCATGCAGAATTTTACAAGTAAAAAGTTACTTCTTTTGCAGTAAAATAACATGTATTGTATTTTAAAATATAATTTAATATATTTTTGTTTGTTTTATATATCACCTTATATGTTATAGTTAGTAACCAATGATCAGGTAGCATTTAGGATTATTATTATTATTTTACAGTTTGATGTCTATGTCGGTTAACATATTCTTCACATGCCATTTTATTTGGAGATCGGAATACGCATCGCCCCCGCCCCTATAATAACGCTTAGCGCGGATGGAGGAGGGGGATGATGAACGCGCCGCGTATTGATCGTGATGATGATGATGTAATAAGCGCACGCTCCGCTGATTCCGCTGATCTAGTGCACGCTAGATTCTTCACGCTCGCGACCCGGCTAGAGTGATGTCACCATCAATAGAATGAACCGTGTTTAGGAATTTTCACACCGCCTCCGTGCTGCTCAGCGCGGCCTCCATGAGGACAAACCCCGGGACTGCGGCGCTGATGGCTGTTGGGGTCGGAACTGCACCAAGCTCCCTTCGACATCACATCTGCGACCCCAGCGCTCAGACAAGCGGCAAAACCCGTGCGAGCGCGCGCTTCTTTACAGCAACATTCTATATGGAATATTGGTCATCTTAACGGGAATTCGAACTCCTGATTTGGCTGACTGCCATCTCTCATCTGCGCCCTTTCAGGACTTTTTTAGTGTCTACCATTGAAACCCGGTGAAATAGGTCTTATTCGGTGCCTGACCTCTCTTCCCCTCGCGCTTACCGGAGACTGTCCCCTCTCTTCCCCTCGCGCTTACCGGAGACTGTCCGCGCGCTGCGCACTCAGAGGCCACAAGTGCCTGTTTTCTCTGGCTAGACTCACCATTGATGGAAACTGATGCCCTGTTGCCTTTCCTCTCCCGTGCCTACCTCTGCAGCCGCTGTTTCTCGGTTAGTAACTCGACTAGGCCCACGACGAACCCAGCTAAACATCTCACAGAATGACTGTCTGATGGATAAAATGTAAGAGTGGGTCATTTATGTAGTGTTTTGGTCTTTTGGATGTTGGAGTGGCGACTTTGCTGTGTTTTAACCTTCTTTGGATCCGAAACCCGGGTGCGCGAGGGGCTCGAGAGCAATAAACGCCCGTTATTTTAAGGGACCGCGCGCTTCTCTCTCAGGATGGCAAATGAGCCCGTTATTCTTAATGTGTATGACATGGTAAGAACTTTAACCCTTTCATTATTTCATCATAACACTGTTTTAAATAAACCAAGCTCATTTTGGTCTCTAATTTTGCATTTTATAAAAGAACTATACAAAGACTTTAGGAATGGTGGTCATAGTGTAGTGATGAAGAATCTGGGCCGCTAACACAGAGGTTTAATTTTAAAAGCACGTTTACAAAGCTACTGTGAAGCATATCTGACAGTGATATAGATGAGAGCGCGTGTGTTTTTACTCCCTTGCTCTAGCAGGCGCTGTAACCCCATTACAATCTAAACACTCGCATCAGACAAAACAGTGATTGATGTTTATTAATGAAGTAACACTTGTCATTAAAATGCTGTGTATAATTTTATTCATTATTATGTAATAAAACCACAAGACAGACATTTTAACATCAAGAAAGTGACTAAAGGGTTGGCTACACATGGACTTATTAGTTTATTTTACATTAAATAAGACGCTATCTAAATATTATATCCAAATCGGATGACGTGGCATTCAAAGTATGTATTATAAGTTAATTCATGCATTCCCCTGTACTGGAATACACACTCCATTTAAAACACTGGGGTGGGATAGACTAGTCTCTGTACATTAAATCATGTTCTGCATGTTCTATTATTCATGAAGGGCAGCTGGTGCGCCTTTTTGGAGGGGGGGGTATTGAGGGAAAACATGTATAGGAGGCCAAAAATGTGCCCTTCATTCTGTTTTTTGGGGCGAACTAACCCATTAGAGCTTATTGTGTGTGTGAGAGAGGGTTTTGCACCATTCATTGATTTGAATGCCTTGTATATAGCTAATATGATGCAGAAGATAGATAGATAGATAGATAGATAGATAGATAGATAGATAGATAGATAGATAGATAGATAGATAGATAGATAGATAGATAGAGAAACAAAGACATTTGCTGTTAATTAAAACATGATTGTATGCTGATGTCGTTCTCCCTCTTGCTCTCTTAGTACTGGATAAATGAGTACACCTCCACTCTGGGTATTGGAGTCTTCCACTCAGGAATAGAGATCTACGGCAGAGGTAGAGTGACATTAAGTTTTTTCAATTATCTTTTTTTTTTTTTTTTTGCATCAAACTCTAGACCTCTACTGGAACCTCAGTCCTATTTGTAAAAAACGCCATTACACACAGTGGGAAGGGTTTCAGCTACTGGGACTACAATTAGTGGACATTGTAGATAGTTAGTTTCCATTACTGATATATTTAGAGTGTCAAATAATGGGTGAAGATAATTTAGATCTAAATGAGCAACTGAAAAATTCATCATTTCATTTTTTTATTTAAGTAGTAGTAATTGGAGTGGCCACAAATAAAGCTGCATTCTGTAGCTTTTGGGGGGTTAAAAATTATCATATATATGATAAATATATATTTGAGAAAATACATAACCAGCCAGTGTTCAAAACTATCTGTTTGCTTTAGCTTGATTCAAAGCGGTAAGCTTGTAATAATGGTTTTAATTTACATTTTACATTTATTCATTTAGCTGACACTTTTATCCAAAGCAACTTACAATTGCTATATATGTCAGAGGTCTCACGCCTCTGGAGCAACTAGCAGTTAAGTGTCTTGCTCAGGGACACATTGGTGTCTCACAGTGGATTCGAACCCGGGTCTCTCGCACCAAAGGCATGTGTCTTATCCACTGCGCCATCACCACCCTGTAATTCCAGTGGTACTGGTGGTTTTTCACAGGACATTGGTGCATGTCTTTGTGTCATTCGTCACATCTGTACACATAAAGAAGGTGTCTCTGCTAGAAGGCTGTATTGCGTGTGAGGATGTTGGAGGTGGAGATTTATAGACTTTTCTCACAGCACTTGATATAATTAAACTTATCAATTTGATGGTGGATCCAGGAAGGTTCACACGACAATCACCAGTGACAACTAGAGATTCACCCTTTGTAAAATGCAAAAGACTTCGTTCGGACTGCAACCGGACCCATGCGAAACAACGATAAATATCGGAAAGACATTACATGTAGTCATGCAATGCTGACGTTGTTAACTAACAATCTGAGAACAAAGAACAATTTGCTTGGTTTTGTGTGATATGATAACTTATAAGCGATTGTTAGTTTTAATCAGCACGATTTACTGCAATGTCAGAACCAGAACAAAAAGGGATGTTTCTAAGTAGTTCAGATGACATTTTCTGGTGAAAATTATTATGTTGGTCATAAGTCCAAAAAGAATAATCTGTGCTTCTGAATGCCAGTATCCACACCGGCGCGGTGATTGACAGCCTCAGTCTCCTCATACAATGAACAAATGTGTTCATCCGCACTGTGTCAAGGGTGTTGAAGTACAACTCACGTAAAGTTGATAATTCCGTGAATTACTGCAATTGCAGATTTCAAACAGAGATGGCGACAAAGGGAAAAACTGCAGACTGCAGCTTTAAGTAATGGAATATATACACATACATCACTTTCTTCCTTGTTGTTGTACATGTTTTTGTTCATTCAATGGTCACCCAAGCAATCACTGTGATCTGAGCCTTGTCACTAGCATTTAAAGACCTGCGTAAGGTTTGCAAGTGACTTTACATGACCTACAATTGGCAGTGGACTGTTGTCTGTGTCTGTCGTGAATGATGGAACACAACAGAAAAAAATAAACTGTTGCCAATTCGTAATCTGAGTCATAAAGTAACAGAGAATATGCTGTCTTCTGTCATGATGTACTTTTTTTTTTACTCTTTCACACACTCTGCAACAAGCAGCAGCTTTGATACAGAGCAGAGCATAGGCAGCTCTGAGGAGTGAGGACTGCCATGATTTGTGGGATCTTTACTCTAGCCTCTCATTAATACACAGATATATGTCAGAATAGGGGGGAAAAGATGATTGCAATAGATTTATGATGTTTATGTGATGTATATCCAAGTCAAATGACTTCCCGAACAAGAAAAACATTTGGCTTGATTTTGTTAACCGGGAATTGATTGGATAGATGATGTGCATCGATAACAAAACAAAACAAGAATCGTCAATTTTGATTTCTTACCGATATTAAAGCAGGGCCTTAACAAAAAGTAATTCACTTTAAAAAAATTTTTTTTTGCTGATAATCTTTTCTTCAGTCGAAAAGAAATGACTGTCGTTTTTGTGTCATTTGGTTCATTCAATGAATGAAATGAACGAATTGACTCGGGAAAAGATTTGTTCATTTTGATGAACGATTGCGAACAGGAGAATCACGAACAGAGCAAGGTGACCATTTGAGCTTATAAAACTTAAACTTTGTTATTTATTTATTAAATGAGCAATCGTTTCGCTTGATAAGACCCTTATTTATCATCTGGAACCGTTTAAAGCCCTTTGAACAGTTTGCAGTTTGTACTGAAAGTGTCTTTTGGACCTTGAACCGTTTGGTTCCCACTGAAGTCTTTTATATTGAGAAAAATCCTGGAATGTTTTCATCAAAAAACGTAATTTCTTTTCGACTGAAGAAAGAATGACATGGGGGTGAGTAAATTATCAGCAAAAGTTTTTTAAAAAGTGAACTACTCCTTTATTAACCACCATAAACATTGAGGGGGACAAAATGGCCAAATTTGTTCCCACCAATATTTGATATTCGTGATGCTGCTCTGTTTGTTGTTAGGATGAGAAAAAGTAAAACTTTTAGGCTGGTTGCCTCTGCAGTCTAACTGTGCTTTTCAATGTCAAAATGAAAATGAAAATTTAAACCACAAAAAGGAATATTCAGGAGAATAATAATTTATGTAACTTGATCTGATGAGACAAGAAATATTTGTTTTTGACATAATAGGCATACAAATAAGAGTGAATTTTTGCATGTTTTAAAATAAAGATATTATTTGCTAATAGCTTAGATTGATTACCGGCACTATACAAAGTACATTGGTCCTCCCAATAAGCAATACAGCCTGGATTTAAAGTGAAGTATGCTGATCTTGTAAAAATTCCTTCTAAAGTTACAGTCATAAAAAATGTTCACTACCTACAGAATCATTTGCTGTTTTGTCTCCATTAGAGTTTGCATATGGCGGCCATCCATATCCCTTCAGCGGCATTTTTGAGATCAGCCCTGGAAATGCCTCAGAACTGGGGGAGACTTTCAAATTCAAGTGAGTTTTACAGAACCACACAGACACACACGCTATTAGCCATACAAACCATATCACAAGTCCTGTTTTCTCTACAGAGAGGCTATAGCTCTGGGTACAACAGACTTTGCAGAGGAGGACATTGATAAAATAATGGAGGAGCTGGGAAAGGAGTTCAAGGGAAACGCCTACCACCTGATGCACAAAAACTGCAACCATTTTTCATCCTCACTGTCTGAGGTCACTGTCTTTCTTTTATATATGATCTGAAGGCCATATTCAACTTCACTAACTGATGATGACATAAATGCTTGTAATTTTTCTACATTCTCACATCAATTTTTTTTTCTCTCTCTCTATAGTTGCTGTGTGGGAAAGAGATCCCACGCTGGGTGAATCGACTGGCATATTTCAGCTCCTGTATACCATTTCTGCAGAGTTGTCTGCCTAAAGAGTGGCTCACGCCTGCCGCGCTCCAGAGCCATATCTGCATGGGCCTTCGGAAGGAGAACACACACTCCCACACACACGATTCCAGCGACGATGAGTCCTCATCTGCCCCAGAGGCAGCCGCTGGAACCTCTCACAGCTGCAGACACACCCGGGTGTGATCTCACACACACAGTTTTACGTTAATTTGAACACACACACACACACTCCAACCTCTGATCCTGCTGCTACAGCGCCTCCTGCTGGGCTGGGAGACCTCATGGCGTCTCTGAAAGGGGAAATCAAAGTCATGTTTTTTTTCTGTAGAGCCTACAGGGATTTAAAAACCTTGCAATGGTACTCTTAAAGTTTTAGAATTGTTTGATTTTTACTAAGATTTTAGGGAAATCAAAACAGTGTTTGCCATTTAGTGTTCTCTCTCTTATAAGACAATAATTATGAATGACGGGTGAACATGATGGACTACAGGCTCTTCAAAAATACTGATGTTTCCGTAGTCAATTCATTTCTGTTTGTCCCTTTGACTTTTAATCTCACCTGGGTGTTCTCTAAATTTAGCCGAGTTTGCTGTGTATTTAATTATTTTCTATTTTGTGATAGAATAAAACCGTGTCATCTGCAGAGGAATTTACATTCCCAACCTTACTTTTTTTCCTCAGTGACTTTAGTAATATAAATCTGCTTTAATTTAATGATATGATGTCAAACTAATGCCATCTTTGGTTTGTTTATTTTATTTCGATATCTTTGGCTGTTTGTTTTATATTTAAGTTGAAGTTTTTCAGTGAATTTATAATAAACGGGCCGATAACAGCACGTGTCTCACACACTGACAGCAGTTGGAAATTGCAGCCTTATAACTGTAAGCCATTGATATGCTGGACTCAACTGAAACAAAAGACCCCTGTTTTCTGTCGTTGAGGACACAAAGGGGGCATTTGTGAGAGATGTTTGGGGGTGGGGTGTGGGTAGGGTCTGCACATCAGGTCTGGTATCAGTAGGCCTAATGTACAACAGTGTTGTGGCTGACTGTGAGTGATTAAGAGAGGTAGGGCAAAGGTGTTAATTGTCATTTCTCTTGACTTAAGTTATTGTGCTTTCTGGACTGAAAAGAGTGATGTTGATGTTAAAATGAGTCATCCACACTTCAATACATGACTTTTGCACGGACTGTTGTCCTGACTTTCCGGCACCAGTTGCTAATTTGCCAAGTTCAGGCTGCAGATTTCTCTAAAATCATATTGTGTGTGATGGCCACAGACTCCAGTGTTTTAGCTTCAGACTGATTCCATCCAGTCAGAAGATATCAAACACGTTTCTGCGTGACTTTTTTGTGTTTTGAAAGACTTGAGTCATGGTAGTGTGTGATCTTTAGTCATTTAGAATGGCCAGTTTTCCTTTGTAACCTTTTACAACATCAACAAGTGTATGATGCCTAGCGTTTTAAAATCTCTTCAGATTTTAAAAGTATTGAAGTGTAATCCAGCATCAACAGTAAATGAAGGTAACAACTAAAGGTTGTATGGTATTTTCATTTTAGTAGATGCCTTATCTAATTTTCACAAATGAAAATCTAGAGCTCTAAAGAAAGAGATGCTGATTGGTCCTATAGCAATTTTCTTATTACGTCTTACCACAAATTTTGTTAGAAAAGCTGATTTTCAGTGTTTCATCAGCTGAAAGATTGACAGTTACACTTAAGAACGTTAAAATGTGTTTATTTATGAAATATTAAAAAAGGTGTATACATTGATTATGGTCCATATCAGAGTAAATGATACATCTGTCAGTATTATTTTGATCTTTCTGTGGCATTTTGCCTCTCATTGCAAATCTTCTCTAGAAGCCCACCTTTTCGCTCAGGATGGCATGGCATTGTAGGTGGAAACACCACCCATGAGTCAAATGGGACATATGTTTTTGGTAAAGTATTTATAAAATTGAATTTTATATTTGAAATATGATTCTGTTTACTGTTATTTTGTCAAAGATATTATCAACCTGTAGAGCCTAATTCTTATGATGCTTTTTTGTTTAATTTAGTCCGAGGCCACAACAACTGAGATCTTTTAATACAGCAAAGACCCATTTTGTTGGCATTGCCCATTGATGCCATTTCTAGCCTCAATTAGTACTTCTTGTTTTGATGTGATGGAAAATTTCAGATATTTACAGATGAATATAGAGAATAAAGAAACTAAAAGGCCTTTCCCTGAATGTTATTGCTGTCACGGGGTGGAGAGAAGGGGCATTGTCATTTCTGAATATTTTTAAGCATTAATTAAATTAATTCACACATGAGAGCCATTGTTCACATGTGCCTTGATATGTTCAGTAGAAGCCTAAAGAAAATCAGGTCATGGAAACTTGCAGACTGGATCAACCCGTTTTAATCGCGTTAAAATACAAAAAGTATAAAGTCTAGCAAATAAATGTCTCCCATGACTTCTGATTAAAAGATATACCTGTTATAACCATATAACTATATACGAAGACGCCGTAAAATGGCCATTTTCAATGTGTTTACGTCTGTCTTTACAGTCTCTGCTTTACGTACGCATGCACGAGACGCACGCAATCTCCTCCCATTACCCTCCCCCCTGCGCGTGAACACGCATATAAATGCTTCCGCGCGCGGCCGCGTTCCTCAGTCTCGAGATCAACGCCATTTTGTCCTGCAAGCGGAGGTGAGAGGACGAAGTCGAATTCTTAAAAATACTATTTGTTTTAGATACATTGCTAGTTAATCACTTTGTTTGAGTTTAGTTAAATGCAGATAGAATTCGTTTCAACGGTATTTTGTCCGTTTTTACGGTTTTATTATCGAGTAAATCTTTCTGCGCATGCTGACTAGGCCTCGGCCGCACGCCTGATCCGTCGTGTTCGCCATATTAGTCTTGTTTTATTCTAACTTAATCTTTAAGAATTGATAAATGTAGTAATATATAGCTGCACTGATTTTTGTATTTGTGGTTTGTAACTTATTTGTATACATCCATAACAAATAGAAACGTTAAATCGTTTTTGTTATTTATATTAAAGTTGAAAGACCTAGTGTTACAGAAAACCTTATCATTTTTCGAATCGGTTGTCGTGCCTTTGGGTATTTAGTAATGCTGATACGTGGACTTTTATAAATGATTATCCAGTGTTTATGCCGTGTGTGACCAGCAGGGCGACGCACAAATGCACTCTTTCCTGCAGTGTAAAGTACACGTTGCCAGAATGTTGATTAACAGTCCTTTCACCATCTATTCCTAGATTGCCTTGAATCATTTTATCAACATGAGTGGATGTCGCGTGTTCATCGGCCGTCTGAGCCCTCATGCTCGGGAAAGAGATGTGGAGAAGTTCTTCAAAGGATACGGACGAATCAGGGAGATTAACCTGAAAAACGGGTTTGGCTTTGTGGTGAGTATCGACACTCTTGGGGGTCTAATGTGAGGTGGCTGTGAAATGCGTCTCACTGCCCCCTACCGTCTGATTTCCACAGGAGTTTGACGACCACAGGGACGCAGATGACGCAGTGTACGAGCTGAATGGAAAAGAGCTGTGCAGCGAGAGGTAAGACTAAATCCAGAAAGATAAATGTACATGTTAGACTTTATTGTGATATAGGTTTTAGGCTTTAAGATATTGGTCTTCTTGTAAAGATGAGACTTCTCTTTGATCGTGTATGCCTGACTTTTGTAATCATTTAGTCTGTTTAAACTGCCCATGCAAGCTCATGTTTATCTGCCCCCACTTTTGAGTGCAATGTCCACAACTCAATCTAATCGTTAACCAATGCATGAGACCAGTTCCTGGCCTTAATTTTTCTTTTTCATTAACTTCAGGGTGACTATTGAGCATGCCCGCTCTCGCAGGGGAAGAGGTGGTGGCCCAGGCATGGGAGGACGTTTCTCTCCGCGGTTTGGAGGCTATCGCCAGTCCCGCAATGGGGGTTCCAGGTGTGATGTCCCAGCAATGTGAGAGTTAAAACTAGGGGTGTGCAAGAGTATTCGAATTTGAATATTCGATCTGCAATTATTATTCGAAAAATAAAATGCTACAGAATTGTTACGTTGCTTTGCTTGGCCGTAAATGCAGTGAATCCATCAGTCCTAAGCATTAACTCAGTTATAATGAAATGCACTGGGTGGCGCTGTGGAGCGTGTTTAACAAGTTGTTTGTATTTGATAACAATGTAGTCAGCTTAGTTAAGTTTGGAAATAGTTACATGAAAATGATCTTGCTTGCATATTACAAAATGGAACTACGTTTAATCAATAATAAAAGAGTTATCATATCACCACCACAACGAGAAATCACGTGAAATCCAAACAGCAGTCGACAGCTTATCACTGCATTCACGACTGCAGGTAAGCGCAGCTGTACCCTGAGTGAGCTGAGAACTTGTTAGATAGCAAAATATGATGGAGACCTGCTTCAAGTTTCGAGGGAGATGGGTTTAAGAACAGGAAGTTACCTTTGTGTTTCTGCAACGTCTGTCAGCACAGTGTGTTTTCTTACTCGCGCATGTGGATATTGTTTTTCTTATTGAACATGAAATAACAAAATAATGTTTGTTTTTTTTTGTGCTGCTTTATATTTTGTTTACACATTTAAATATTTTCAACGTAAAGAAAACCTTAAGATTTAACGTAAACTTGGTGTGTATATTGCCTTATCTTAAGCCTGTTCAAAAACGGGGATAGAAACTTAAAAAAAACTTAAACTTATAAAATAACGTTTTATTAAACGTCATTTAAATAAGCAAATATTTGATTTGTTTTTAGGCCAAAAATTCTAGTGCAATATTTTTGAAAAATGCCCATCCCTAGTTATCACATGTGGTTTGTTCGGATACAGTTCAAAAGAATTAACCTCTGCCCCTTTCTTAGGTATGGACCACCAGTGCGCACGGAGCACAGAATCATTGTGGAGAACCTCTCCTCTCGAATCAGCTGGCAGGTGAGCATCCCAAGCGGTAGCAGCAGAGTGGCGTAGCAGCCTGCTGTTGTAGCGTTTCACCCCTGCAATTCTCTTGCCTTTGACATCAGTACAAGCACACAAACTATTAGTTATCTGTTACTGTTAAACTGGAAGTAGAATTTCCTCTTCACCTCAGCCAAACCTTGCATAAGTAAAAAAAAAAAAAAAAACACAAAAAAAAACAAACAATGATGAATTGAATGCTGAAAGGTTCTCTAACCCAGACCCATGTTTTTCAAACCTTTTCTTTAACAGCTGTGCTCTGGTATTCTTTAATTGGAGTTGCATGCACAGCCTGCGAGGTGCATAGCGCCCTCCCCTGGTTGTGTTCTGAATAGTGTCCCTCTGGTGCCTCACCCGACACGCAGTGTCTGCTGGTCTAAGTCTTGGCTGGGTCCGTAGCGCCAGACAGAGCCGTAGCACAGGATAGCCTTATAGGAGCTGGGTAGCCGCTCTCTGGAGGGTCTGTGATGTCAGATCTGCTCCATCCTCCCGATCTGCTGTTTGGGTCTTATTCTGTTGGTGCTGAAGCGGGGAGGGGTGCAGGGTTTTGGCCCCTCCCCCATCCTCTCTCTCTCTGGTGGGGTCCGTTCTTACGGAGGCCGGATGGGTCGAGTCCGAGGTCGTTTTAACGCTTCATTGCTTCCGTTTGCTATTTGGACAAGTGGCTCTTTGCTAATGCCTTCTGTGGTTTGGAACGGTAAGTAGCTCATCACACTGGATAGTTACACGGTAAAGAGGGTTCTGTCACTTTAAATCTGGAGTTAGTTGTAAATGGAGAAAGATGCTACAGATTTCCGGTAGGTAGTTTTGAGACTTGCACAAAAAAACTACTTAACATCATGAGAAGAATCAGGAACTAGCTTAGTCAGGCGTGTCTCCATCTGAGGGCTTTGCTTCCTGCTGTTTCACACTATCTAAAAGTCTCGTGTTGGCAAACGCTCTGGTAGTTTTAAAACTGGGACAGATCCACAGGTAAGACATCTGTTGGGAGTTTTCTACAGGTGCGCCAGTGCACAATTTAGAGCAGATGCTGCAGACTGCAGTGTGTATTTAAAGTGGGTGCTAAACTGCAGTGTGACTCAGTGCTTTTAAGTTTCGTAAAAACATGCCATTAAGTGCTTTTTGCTTTCCTGCAGGATCTGAAGGACTTGATGAGGAAGGTGGGAGAAGTGACCTTTGTGGATGCACACAGGACCAATAAGAATGAAGGGTAAGATGTTGTACACAAACCACACAAGACTGTTCTGACTGTCACGTGCTTGTTACTGAGTGTGCCCTGATTTGTTGTACAGGGTGGTGGAGTTTGCTTCGCACAGTGATATGAAGAATGCCATCGAGAAGCTGGATGGAACAGATCTGAATGGGCGCAAGCTCAAGCTGTATGAGGATCGCAAGAGGAAGTATGTAACAGGCAATCGCACTTGACTTCACACTAAAATTCGCTCTGTCACAAAATCTTAACCCATTTCTCTTCTCTCCACAGTCGTAGCAGGAGTCGTTCCCGCAGCAGGAGCAGCTCCCGTTCCCGTTCACCCAGTCGGAGTCGCACCCCTGAGCGTGGAAGCAAGCGCTCTCGCAGCCGCTCAGTCAGTCGCACCCCAGAGAAGAATACCAGCAACCGCTCTCCTTCCCGCTCTCCGTCTCCTCCGAGGAAACAGAGCCGCTCCCGATCTGCCTCTGCAGAGAGTCAGCACTGAAAGTAACTGTGTGTGTGTGTGTGTGTGTGAGAGAGAGAGAGTGAGCTTTTTTCACTTATTAATGTGGCATCTCATTGTGCTACTGTAGTGTAAATTACTGACTGAGTTGAATGGATGAATGTGTATGAAGATGTTTTGATTTATTTCTAATGCTAATGAGCTGGGTGGGTTTAAATGATAATGGAAAGGGTTAAGACTAGATATTTTTCACAAATGTCTCATTTTGTTTTCTATTTTTATTTGATCAATATCAGTCCTGGAGTACTTCTGTAGAGAACTTAAATGTATGTGAGTTTTGTTTCTCAAACTCGCCTGTTAATTTGTTTTTGAGTCTTTATGGTTGTTCAACAGAAGGTTATGCCTGTATATACACTCTGGAATAAAGTATATTGGTATTTGGCAGAGAGATAGTGTGTGTTCCTAATGCCCCCTAATGCCGTGTGTTGATGTTGATTAGCTCTGCATCGTTTAGAAACACTAAATTTTAATGTTCATTTTCTATGAAAAACTTTTGCCATCTAATTTGGATGGAAAATGTGATGCTTTGCAGATTTTCAGCTCAGTCCACTAGGTGATGCTGTTTCATAGCTTGCAAAAACAATTCAAGATGAGATGACTGATCTTCCCATGGTAATTTATTAAAAATAAAGCTTGGTTTGGGTGACTAAGAGAGAAATTGAATTTTAAAGGTTTGACTTTGAATTAAATGCAAGATCCACTTTTCCAGAGGATTGTGCTAACTATTTGAAAGTGATTAAGAGCGAAACTAAAGGTTTTTTTTTTTTTTTTGAGAATCAATACTTTTCCCTGCTAGGGCCTCAAAATGTACACAACACAGAACCTGGGTTTATTTATTCAGTCAATACGATATGAGAAGCACTTAAACTGCATTTCATAAATTGATCTGTCGCTATGAGGATCCTGGAAACCAATATATTCTCTGAAACCACTGATTGAGGGGTAATATTTCTTCTGCCATGTCTACGGACTAAACACCCTCCCTCTATGCATCAACCAATCTGTTTTGGCCCCCTTTTTACTCATAAAACTGGTGTCGGTGCACAGCGACGCTCTTATTCTCAAGGACAAAAAGATAAAAATCAAACTACTGTAGTAAACCTTTCTAGTTCTTTAAAGAGGTTTAACAAGTTATGGAGGACAGAGGGCACATCACAAAGGACTTAATGGAAAAATACATAATAAAAACACATTGAACGAGGTTCTACCAGACATTTACTCAGCACGTTCACACCAAGACAACCGGCGATTCCCTTGTTGTGAACACTCCAACACGTCATTACACTGTACTCCAATGGTTTTACCCCAGCACATAGAAATTGTGATCAAAATAGCAATCGGTTTATCAAGTGGAAAAATCATTGCGTCCTCGGTCACGCGTAGGCTATACAAAGCAATGAGCATACCCTCTAACGCAACTAGAACATACACACTAATGTACGCACACAACTCAAATAATTAAATAAACACTTCCCCGTTTTGCTTTTCAGAAACATGACCCTGCCCTGAGGTCTAGGGAAAGGAATCAGCCGTCCCGAATGGTCCATAGAGAGAGCACGTGCTGTTTCTCCGCGTTATTCCCGTGATCCCGTCCCGCTGCCACAACAATTATCACAGTGATACTGGCGTTAATTAGTCCTCTTTCAGGAATCTTCTCTTTAGGAATCAGATTTCCAAGAAATTAGTAACGTACAGATGAGTATGAGTAAAATGCACAAATAGCGTAGACAGGTGAACTGTTTATTTGGGAACTGGGACTGGAACTGGAACTGGGGTGCGTTTCCCGGAAACATCATTAGACAACTGCGGTCGCAAATGCCGTCGTTATCTATAGTTAGTTTGACATGTGGACTAAATAAATCCTTATCTTAAGCAAAATAAGCAAGCTGACATTTAGTAGGCTACAACCTGTCTTTTATTTAGAATACATACAAATGTCATTTACGTCTGAGTTTGTCGAGAGATTTTGACCGGTTTCAACCGTTTTTGAAGACTGCGCATGTGCAACTATGTAAGAATAAGCCTATGATTGAATCTGGAAATAATGTGATCTGATTTGAAGAAATTCAAATATTCATCAGATGCCATGTCTGTAATTTATATCAAAACATCTAGCATTAATTCGAACTCAAACAGTTTCATTAAAATCCACAGCCGGATTAGTACCCCAAGGGACCCTGCCCTGGGCAATGAAGCTCATGGGCGCCCCTCCCATACCTGACAACTGCACCCTCTAAAGGAGGTGTGACAACCAGCAAAGGCAGCTGACCTTCGCACAACCAGACACACACAAAGGTCCACCGGGTGTGGGATTTTACATGCCAAATCACTATTGGTCAAAAGATGAATGACTAGTTCACAAGAGTATAGTTCACAATTATCCCAAGGCATGTGGCTCAAGAGACTATATTGTTCATTTAAACTCACCAAATGGTGATGGTATGTATTGCATTACTCTCTAAAAAAGTGACTAATTGCATTGGTTACTGTCATGCTAACTGCTAAGTAATGCATTTCTTTACGTTTGCATTACTTTTTTCTCACAGGATTTGTTTGTTTGTTTTTAATAAAAAAGGTTTCTTTTTGGCAAATGTAAAGGCCCTTTCACACCACAAGTGAAATGAATAGGAAGTGGCTAAAGGAAATGCAAATTCACACCTACATTCAGCTGTGCTGCCATTAGTTTTCATTTTTTATTAATTTTGAGGAATACTAAATCTATTTTTGTGCAAGTGACAGGAGTATAATAAAGGAAAAACAAAGTAACTTGAGTTAGCCTACTTAAAAAAGCTATTTGTGAATTACAAATTTATAATTAGCGGTAATGTGTTACTTGGAATAGTAATCAATGCTTATTTTTACGCCACAGAATGAAAAATAAAAAAGGTAATTGCAACTTTTTATCTCGTAATTCTGAGAAATAAAGTCAGAATTGCGAGATAAAAAGTTGCAATTTCCTTTTTAATTTTTTTATTTATAAAGTCAGAATTGCTTGATATAAAGTCGCAATTGCATGTTATAAAGTCATAATTGCGAGATATAAATTCACAACTGCATGTTATAAAGTCAGAAATGCATGATATTAAGTCGAAATTGCGTGTTGTAAAGTCAGAATTGTGAGATATAAACTATTCTTAGGGGGAAAAAGTTAGACTTTTTTTCCCTTATAATTGGCCCGATATCTTGTAATTGCGAGTTTATATCTCACAATTCTGAGAAAAGAATTTTTAGATAAAAAGTCGAAATTGTCTTTTTTCACAGTTGCAACTTTATTTCTCAGAATTGTGACTTTATTTATCACAATTCTGACTTCATATCTCGCAATTGTGAGAAAAAGTCACAATTAAACAGTCGCAATTGTGAGAAAAAGTCACAATTATTAATATTTTTTTATTCGGTGGCGGAAACAAGCTTCCATAGTAATCTGGTTAAATAACTCACGTTACTTGTAATGCGTTACCTTCAAAACTGATTGCCATTAAAGAATGCTATTATAAAATGAGTGTAAATGATGTTCAGGATACTGGAGTTTTTAACTACATAGTTTATGTATGTTGACATATTTAGCCAACAGTATAATATAATTAATATAATATAATAGATTCGACATTAACATGCATTATTGTGATTTATAAATATTTTATCTGGACCAACTTCATTTTACATGCAGTAGATACAGTAAATGTTTCATGCATGCGTTGTTGTTATGTTTCAGAATATCAGATTTCATGTGCTTAAAACAGTCACATAACAGAGTAGGCCATGCTTAAATGTCCAGTAGCCTACTTGCAAGCTCTATAATAATGTACTTCAACTGTCCCCAACTATCATGATGTGACTGCTTGTTTATAAACAGAACTAAGTACTTAGTCTAGTTGTCCCGTTATTTAATACTGACCATCCCGAGTGTGCAAGAGCGCAGATGCGCCAGTCGCGGGGTCACGTGACTTCCTGCGGCGAGTGACTGCTGCTGCAGTTTCTTGTCGCGAGCGCTCAGTGCACGGTGTGGAGATTCCGAACCACATCGGCATGAAGCTGCACGCACACACCGCACGCGAATCGCCACGCCACCCGTGAACGGTAAGGCGTCTCCGTAGGGCAGCGGATTTACACCCGTTTTAGCGGAGGTGGGGATTAAGATCCAGCGCGATCCAGAGGGAGAAGTTTGCTCACTGCGTCGGGTGGAGGAGGTGAACGGGACACCAGCAGCGAGCATGGCGGAAAGAAGTGGACGGTTGAGCTTCCCTGGCAGCGGTGCGCTGAACAGACCGGTTCCTATGAACCTGTTCGCCACCTGGGAGATAGACGGCTCGTCTCCCAACTGCATTCCCAGGTGAGAGCCATGTGTGATCGCTCGGACTCCCAGGTGGGCTGTTTGTCAGCGGGCAGGCAGGTGCACGGCGGCAGGGAGTGGTGTGCGTGTGTGTGTGTGTCTGTCTGTGTGTTTTAGACAGAGAAAGGGTGTGTGAACTAGTTACTCTGTCATTGTGGTGCACTGATCGACCGCGTCTGATTGGACCGATGTCAGCATCGGATCAAGGTGGCACAAATCCAGTGATGTTCTGCTGATTAAGGAACGCTTTACTGTCATTCACCAGCATTAGTCTAAGTGTAAAAATGTGACCCGGTTGTCAGTAGTTTTAAGTGCTGCGTATTATTTATTATTATTGATTAATCATTAATGTCCTTGCTTGGCGCGGACCTGGGGGGTTTGACAGTTCTTTTCGGTCTGCGAACACAAACAAAACTCCCTTGCCATTGTGACGTCAGGGTTCCACTCTCGCGCCGCGCTCGGGTGAGGTGGCACGCGCGGTTTCGCCGGAGGGGTCGAGCTGTCATCAACGCGGACCGAGTTCGTGCCAATAAACCAGTGAATCTATCCACTAGATGCACTGCAACCAGAAACATAATGTTCGGAGTGACCCAGATATTCAGAAACAGCTGTTTGAGTCATCAAATTTCTTTTCTTTCTTTCTTTCTTTCTTTCTTTCTTTCTTTCTTTCTTTCTTTCTTTCTTTCTTTCTTTCTTTCTTTCTTTCTATCTATCTATCTATCTATCTATCTATCTAATGAAACAGAGCTTGCTGTGTATGCGTTTTGTTTCTGTCCTATAAACTGTTATGGGTGGTGTCCGCAATTGACCTTAAAGAGTTCACCCCATAGGTTCACTTTTAAAAGGAGAAAATGCCGTCATTATTTACTCAACCTCATCACTTCCAGGAGAAAGCTGGAGCTTTCAAGCTTCAAAAGATATAATAAATCTCTGTGAAGAAGATTACAAGTCTTCTGAAGCCATGAGGAGCGGTTCAAAATGAAAGTCATTATTCACTGAACAAATAATGTCTTTTCAATGAATCAGCTGATTGAATGAGTTCACAAAACCAGTGT